ATATAATGACTTACTTTTTTTGACTGTCATTAAATATTATTTATTTGTTTTACGTGATAGGAAATTTGACGAACGCGAACAACAAAGCAGAATTTGGAATATCACGATTTTGAAAATTGTTTACAAAAAGGAACATTCGGGAAACATTCGATGCATGTAAGACAAGAGCACGGAAGTCATTCCGTAAAAGCCTAATAAAGAAATGAAAAAATAATTGAAGGACAAATTATATATAGATCTCAATCTATCGGTACTTCATTAATGAAGTCCCTCGTGCATCATGGTATTCCCATAATGCATCACACCTCTTTTACTGCCGGAGTTTAGTACTACCCAATGTAAAAATTGTATCTATCGTGAAGAGCAGCACGCCGTTTACTTTTTTGCATAAAACAATGAACAAATCACATGGCTTCAAAATCTGTTGGGATAAGTTGGATTTAGGTGATTAAGGAAATTTGTCGCAAATTGGGGTTAATCTCCTTCACATACACTGAACTGTTACACAGGAGAAGCACATCAGTCTGTATTTTTTGTTACATAATTATTGATTTAGACAAAAATTTTCAAACTTTGGGCTTTTTTACACGGTACGAAATATTTAAAAACAAAACTGTCTGTAATAATCTGTCCCATCCATGTTTGTATAGAGTCATAATAAACAACCCTACTCGAAATGAAATGTACATACAATCAGAAATCAGAAATCGTGCGCGATAATAAAAGTGATAATCATTCAGAAATGAACAGGCTATAGTAGAGTAAAGTAATATTGTTTACAAACGGGATTTATCTTACTCCAAGGTTTTGTTGTATTTTATTAAATATGACGCGACCTTGATATTTCAAAAGTCTGGAAACAACTCGATTTTTACACATATGCATTATTCACGTGACCTTATATATTACACAATTGATCGAAAATGTTGTGTCATGTATCACATGAAATATTATAAATTACATTGTATGTAAATCTAAATATCTTTTCACAAGGATAGACCCAATGATCGGTGCTCAGACCGTGTTAAAACTAGTATATTTGTTTTTAAATTCCACAAGTCGTTCGAAAGTATCCCAGTCATTACAGCGAGAAACCTCTCTATAGGGACTCGGTTGCATTACTGATACTGACAACACACGTTGAAGATCGGTTACTTTCATGGTGAACAAATAAAATACTCCCGCATTACTTTCCCGTAATCATCGCAGGCAGTATCGTTTATTAAATGGAATGACATCGACTAGAGATGGGAATTGCGAATCATGAAACATACAACTCTTCATTGTAAGACATCAACAAAGCGCTCATTAAATATGCATCTACACCGTGCATTTCAATCGCAGAACTCTGTACAATTATGAACGATACACCAATTGGGTATGTGAACGGTGAAAAGAAGCGGTATATTCCATTGGATGCAAAAGAAAAAAGAAAAAAGCTTCTGAAGTTGACCGGCATCTATGTATATATATATATGATATATATCATAGGTTTTTACGCCGGTGTTTGAATTGATTGAAACGTTGAAAAAGGGTTTAATTCAGAGGATTTGAAAAGGGGCTCTACGTATATGATTGATACTTTTTTTTCAAAAAATGGATTTGATTATTGTGGGAATTGATAAGAGTATACATGCCGACACGAGCCGAATATTAGTGCTCTGGAATCATCGTCGCCGGTACAATGTGAAGAATCGAGTATAGATCAGAAGATTGGCCACTACGTATATTTCGTAAAACGGTTATTCAACACGAACCCATAAAACAAGACCAAGAAAAAAGTGGGATTGGAAGTAATACAACTATAATAACAGAGCAGTTGATATGATATCACAACGCCTTTGGGAAATGGTCATGTAATATTCGGTACAGTGGAGTCTCATAGGAACTCGCAATCCGTTAGCAAACGTCAGATGCTACCTGACTACCTACCCAAACAGTACAAAGGTCACGAATGAAGAAATATATTAATTACATAATGATATCCCCCTTTTGTTATGTGTCTCTTTGAAGTTTAAGAGGACCAACTCCCGCAGGATGACTCCGAGTCGATATAACAAATGCTCTTCCTCGTGAAAGAAATGAAAACTCGTATCAATAAATATTTGCAGATTGAATTTAATTAATTTCACGCAAGATACGAGGACCTTGTAAATACCATCAATGAGTTCATTTTCTTCTAATGACCCCTGGTAGATTTCCTCCTGTCGACCGGGGAGCAGTGCATCACTTTACGGCGGGGACTCCCTGGATATGGTAGTAGTAAAAAAACATAAAAGTAAAAACGACTTAAAAGAATACAAATGTTAATTAAATGAGGGAGTCTTCAAAGTAAGAGTCAAAAGGCTAAGCCTGGGTAATCGATGTCAACGAATGAAAATAAAAAGATTAAAATAAAAGGAATCCCTAAATCTAAATGGCCGTACTTAGAACCTCAAATATAAAAAGAGCACCGGCTGCACGCCATTTCCTTTGATTGCATTCCTTCTATTGTCTATAGTGGGCTTAATTGCAATTTAAAACCATAATTAGCAACGTGATGAACCCATCAGTGAGACAGAAAGATAAGTAGTACTTAAAACACTTGCATAATTTGGTTCATTTCAAAAAAGCAGATTACAGTTATGTCTTTTAACCAACAATATTATCGCATTTTATATCACGAAACCATGGTAACGGCTGTAGATACCTAGAGAATAATGACCATGGCAGTAACACAGGTTTAGTATACGTCTAAAAGTACAGAACGCTGCGTTGATAGCATAACAATATTAATTAATTGATTACAATAAGCTAATTTCGGTTGTTTGTCAACATCCACTTCTTCTTTCTATCAAAAGGGGAATTAAATTTGGATGAGTCGCATTTAGTTCAAAAATGTCACACCGTTTTTCAGAAACGTTTTATCCAGTGCGAGGTTATGAACGCACTTGTTTTATAAAAGGATGTGATTTTCCGGATTATAACGTAGTATGATTGATGAAAAATGTACCATCATTCACGCTAAATGTGTTCACTTGTGGAACTTCAACCATTAATTTCCAGTTCCTGTGTAGGGGGCGGGGCGCGCCGTCACCAAGGGAAGTCACACGTGAGAAGACCGGCGTTATATTTTGATAGATCCAGTACAAATCTAATGTAAAGCCACCAACAAATACAGTATAAGGTATATTGTCTTGATAGAGATGTTGCCAGCGGTCGCGGCGACTATTTTCTGACATGATTGACACCTTATGGCATTTCAGTCGACTCTCTTCAGATTACCGCCTTAATCCTCGAGCCAAATCCCAGATGATGCTTATCTTTGGCTATCAAATAGCTTAGCTCAAGATTATATGACCTTCTTACTGGGCTGTTATTCCCTTATCTCTTCATCACTATGCTAGGATGATATTAGAAGGCTGATAACTGTAGATATCATCTGTGACGAACCAAATTGCACATTGCATTGCTAGTCATTCACAGCACGGACCCCAGAGTGCGAGTCTAGCTCGATGAGGGCGCGCTTCGTAAATATATGTGCAATGATGACATTGACAAATGATTTTAATCTTTCACACTATTTACCTTTATGCAGAGAAAGACCCGATCTAAAATCCAAATTTTATATTAATATTCCTTTTGTTGATCTTCTGATATTATTCAGAACAGATGGCCGACCTAAACCGTCTTACAGTACATAAATGTTTACATGGCCTCTAGGTGGCGACAGACTGGTCAATTTCTTACGTATATCCTCGGGGGGGGGGGGGAGGCGGACATCCGGGCATTTTCACCGCTTGGCAACCCTCGCGGTGAAAACAAAGGCCAAAAACTCGCAGAAAACGGTACTTTGAGATGGTAACAACATTAGCCCTACGTGTGTAACATATATAAATTTGATTGTTCAGGATTACTCCAAAGTTGAGTTTGTGTTGTTTTCTCGAATGTTCACCGGCTCGACCGGCGTTCCACATCAGCGCGCACAGAACCCATAGAAATGCATGTACAGTGGTCCGCGTTTTAGCAACGTGGAACGTCTTGTGACGTAGCTCCGCCCGAGGAAACTTGTATACGATGGAGCCAGTGTCTACTAATCTCAGACTTAAAAAAAAATCTTCTCCCATCCAGTTTTGAACGCACAAACCTCTCAATAAAATGAATATTTATAAAAAACAAAACTTAATTTACCTTTCAATTCTGTCAACCCATTATATCTTAGACGCGTTTGTGTCTAATGTTTGGCATGTGAGGGCGGCATTGTTATAATCACAGAAGGAACTACACAAGATTGTCATTGTCTCTTGATATACCTGAATGCAGGATGACAGTTTCGGGGGGCACCTTCACAATGATGAGTACTGAATCAGGAAAAGCATGTATGAGTAACAGTTTTATTGGAAGACATGCTATTTCAAGTTCTCCATAGCAAAATTTCAAGCAAGATCACAGACTTCAGTTTATTGAGAGACTTTATATCCAAAAAAGAGCCCCTGTACCTGAGCTTTATCTATTAAATTTACATGATTTGCCACCCAACACCCTGTTGCAAAATTTCACACTATTGTACGGTTATTATCCAAAGGAATAATCACCAAAAAATGAGGCTAGATCACATGGATGTGTAGTTCTAGAACCACCCAGAGAATTCACCTAAACATGTCCGGAAAAGGAAAGTTGGGGTGCAACTTCCTTAATTTTAAAAGAATTGTTTTTTATTGGTAATACTCAAACCTAGTTATCTTTGGATCAACCAAGTAGTAGGATTTTGACTACTGACCGACTGAGTGATTGGCGAGTGATCAGTGATGAATAAATGCATCTATCAGTACTGTAAAACATGCATTTAATTTCATCATTTTTATAAATACTATTATTTCACATAGATTTAATTTAGCAGATTGCACTGATCACTGAAAATAGCAAAATTAAAACCAGTGAATAATTAATATGTTTACAGTATGCTGTGCCATGTACATCAAGAAAATTTTTATCCACACATCAGAAATCACAAACAAACATTTCACTTTTAAGAAGGCTTTATTCATTTTTAGAACAGGGAAATGTTGCTCATTTCCCTCAAACCGACCAATAAACACTTGGTTCTGTAAGCACAAGGTGTAAAAGGGGCAAGACATTCTGTGAAATGTACTACAAAATACACTAACAGTTAGTTTATTACAGACTTGATTGAAATAATTTATTAGTTTCAATGAACTAATATTTTAATATAATTAAAAGGCAGAAAAAAAAAAGGATACTTAAAAACATACGAACATTGATGTAATTGTGCTGCGAGTGAAACATCCACAGTTTGAAAAGAACACGTATAAAGTATCTAATTACTCTTTCGGCTTGGTCTGTATATCTGAAGTATATATAAACCCTGGTGATGTTTCCCAGCAAACAGTGGCCTCAAATATGCCTTTTATACACAAAAATACTCGAGAGGGAATTTGCCACACCGGAAAAACTTACGACATTACTCATTGAAAACTGAATAATTTTTTGTGTGCATTTCTTTTTCATAATAAAATTAATTTTTTCAAAACAAATTTTAAAAGAGTAGTGTGCCCATGCCACCCATTTCACTTTGTTCTTTTACGAAGATTTCAAAATATTGGTAGATGATAGTGACAGCCAAGAGAATACCAGTTCCAGAACCAATTGCGCCAAGGAAGTCAGCTAAAACAGAAAGTGCACCGATACACAGACCACCAAATGCAGCTGCTGTTGGGATATATCTGTAAACAACATTGTCATGGTTAGCATATAAAATAAAGTTACCATCTAGTTTTCAAAAAAATACTGATTAGCAACTTAATTAATATACACAAATCCAGTCACCAGAAAGTGATGGCATACACATCTAAACACACTAACATTCATATTACTGTAAGCTTCCCAAAACATAAAGTTTGT